TCATTCCTTAAATATTTACACAGCCCTTTGAACACACAGACAGAAGTGCTTTGCTTAGATGAAAGGCACTAAAATTCCCCCACTGCTTTCCCAACAGCTTGATGACTGAAGCCTACGTATCACTGAGGCTTGTAATGCCCTCCTTGCACAGCAAGCAGCTCCTGAACAGCACCTCTAGGCTCTTGACCATGCCACTCTATCTCTTAAGGCTGAGAAGGGGAAAATCAAAGTCTGAAGGTTACCTGGCAAACCCCCAGCAGAGCACTTGGTCATTTGGAGTTTTGTTGTATTGCATCCTTGAAGATACGCTTTCAAGAAGGCAGACCCCATACTGGGTGCAGTGCTGTTAAGGGTAAATGCATGCCCACAGATGACATGAGTGGGTTTGTGTGGGCTGGCATCCACATTGAAGTAACCTCAGCATTTTAAAGAGCTAGAACTCTCCTGGGTCATGGTGTTCCACCAGGATAGGAGCCAGCTAAAAGCACTCAGCAGCTGGGAGCAGAACGTAGGGAGCTGTAGGAGTAAATCCCCAGCTTTAGTTTGCTGCCTCCTTTAAATCCATAAGAAAACACCTACAATGGGCTCATAAAGCCTGGAACAGCCACTGTGTGAAAGCCACAATACAGGAGGCATTGTGCTGGCTGTTCCTGCTCTGGGGAGGTGGTGCTGTGCAGGGACACACTATTTTCAGCACCTTCAGCTCTGCTGCAGCTCAGGCCTTGGCTCTGAACTTCCTTTGGCATCTCCTTGCCTTATGGCTTGGTGGTATCTTTCCCAGGAAAGCCTGAAGCACTGGATCCAAGGGAACCTGACGCGCTGTGGGCGCTCAGCCTTCCTCTTTGACGAGATGGACAAGATGCACCCAGGCTTAATCGACGTGATCCTGCCCTTCCTGGGACCCTCGTGGGTTGTGTACGGGACCAACTACCGCAAAGCCATCTTCATTTTCATAAGGTAAGAGAAGTTCCCCTGTGGCATCACAGGGCCTCCCAGCACAGTGTTTCTCCTCTGGGCAGAGATCACACCTCCTTCAGAGCACACACTTGTTCTGCTTTGCCTTCTCTAAGCCTCTAAACATACCAAGAGACAGAGTTTCATTGTGAATACAGACCTGGAGAGCATGAAAATGCTCTTCTGTCCCTGTTACTTGGCTGCCTTTACAGGAGTCATTTTAGGCCAGGCAGCAGGAGATCCTGGCTTGCCCTCATGCAGGCTGGAGGGTGTGAGGTGCCACCTCTCCTGCAGCACCGTTTGCCCTGGATAGACACCGAACAAGCATCTCCTTCTCGTGCAGCAACGCAGGAGGGGAGCAGATCAATGCAATGACACTGGACCTGTGGCGAGCCCGCAAGGACCGGGAGGAGATCAGCCTGCAGGACCTGGAGCCGGCCGTCTCCAGAGCCGTGTTTGACAACCCTCACAGTGAGTCCATGGCACAGAGCCCTTCCTGCGGGATCAGAGCCCGGCAGAGGGAGCCCGGCCCATTCCAGGCAGCCACCGACACCATCTGCCACCTCCCAGGCAGCCAGAAAGGGACGAGGGGGTTTTGAGGGAAGGGAACTGCAATTCCCTGGAGGTTTCCTGGCAAAGGGAAGGAATATCCCGGTCTTTGAAGCCAGCAGACCTGTTGCTGTGTGCAGCAGAGTTCTTTGGAGACGAGGTGGCTGTGGGATGGCAAACAGCACAGCACACTCACTGAACCAAGTGAACCAAGATGTACTGATCCCCACTGCCCTGGTTCTCCTTGCTTTGCCCTTGTCACAGGGAGAAGAGCTTAAATTCGGAGTAGCCAAGCTAAATTCCTGGTTCCTGGAGAACAAGTGCATTGGGGGATGAAGGGGGGGACAACTGATGGGGTCAACTCTCCCCTTGTACAAACCTAAAGCAGATCTGCCTTTGAACCCCAGGGACTGCAGAGACTTTGAAGGTAAAACCTGTCTCTTCCTTTGCTTTTGCAGGTGGATTCTGGAAATCTGGGATCATCAATGAAAGTCTCATTGATTTTGTTGTGCCCTTCCTCCCACTGAAGCACCACCACGTGAAGCAGTGCGTGGTCAATGAACTGGTGCAACAAGGCCTCGAAGTGCGCCCAGGTGTTGTGCAGGAGGTGGCTGACAGCATTCCCTACTTCCCAGAAGAGGAGAAAATATTCTCATCGACAGGCTGCAAAACAGTGGCCTCTCGGATCAGCTTTTTCTTGTAGTCATTGGTGATCTTGCTCAGATCCATAGGGAATGGCTGTGGAGCTGCAAAGCAGCAGAGCCCGGGGCTGGTGGGATGAGCAGTGGGAGCTCCATGTTCCCTCCTGGCATTCTCCTCCCAAACTCATCCTTCCAGCCCTGAGGATGCAGCTGTGGGACCAAGATGTGATTTAAAGCACTTTACTGGTGTACCCTTGCCCAGGTGAGGGTGGATCCATCACCCAAGACATCTGTGACAACAAGGGGATGATGCTAAGAGGGTCTGCAGTGTCAGGGAGGTTTGTGCCCCTACCAGCAGCACCCACTTGCAGCTCTCCCCTCTCCTGGCAGCTATTGATGCCCAGCACAGCAAGATTCTGAGCCCATGGAAGAGTATCTCTTTCCTACAGCATTTTAACAGGCTTTAAAACCCTCTTAAGGGTGGCTGTGCCTCAGCTCTGTGGTACAACATGACAGAGCTGACTCCTGCAGCACTGCCTGTGAACACCTTCAGCATTGCAGCAACGGTTTCTTGTCAAGGAAGCTTTAGAGCCAGCTTCTTTCCAGCTTCCTTTCACTGTGAAGGGTGCTGGTAGGGGCCAGATTCACCATCCACAAGTGTGAAGGTGGATGTGGGAGATGGCAACACCCCCGTGTCCATCTTTCCCCTAAGGTGCAACAGTTTTCCCTGCAGCAAAGCAGGACAACAACAACAAAGACTTCTCACTTGCTTTACCAGCTATGGAAACTTCAGTCCTACCTCCAGGGAAGCCCATGGTGCCAGTAAAGGCTTTGAAAATCACTTTTATTCAGTGATGATTTGTACAGCAGGCTGAGAGCTGGTGCTGGGAGCTGCTGAGCCTCTTGCATACCCTTCTGCTGGTCAGATCTTGCAGGTTTTGGCTGGGTCAGTGCCCACTCTCCAGCAGGGGACCTGGGGACAAAGTAGAGAGGATGATCAGTGCTCCATGCTGCAGAGCATGGGATGCACAGCACCACTGGCCTTTCACCGGGTTTTAATCCACTCTGTGCAGTCAGTTATGGGAACAGAGGTCAGAGGAGCTGGAATCATTCACTGAGAATAAACTACCCAAGGGATAGGGATGGGGACAGGGACACTTCCCAGAGTTCCCAGAGTTCTGCTCAGGCCCTGCACTGCAGTGAGCTGCCAGCAGCTGGGACCATTCCAGCTCCTGGGGCAGTGATTTTAGACATCACCCAAACGCTGCCCGAGAGCTGGTGGTTTAGATAGCACCAGAATTCTGCCTCTTCCAGAGCTGTTATCAACTTCTATTTTTAAAATAGAATCTTTTATGAAATAAACAGTCCTTTACCTGGATTCTCACTTGGAAGGTTTCAGCTGCATGGATGCAGTGGGACTTTGGGGAGTTAGCAGCATGGGACAGATGCTCTCCAGTTTGGTAACTGGCCCATACGTCCTCTGCAAAGGAGCCAGTGTTGGTGCAGGAGGGACACTGGGGCTCTGAGTCCCAGCAGCGCTTCTCACCCGCTGCAGAGCACATCGCTGGGTGCTAAAGCCACGGGCACGGAGCACAGCAGGAGGTGGGAGCCATGTCACTGATGCATCCCTGTCCCGGGGACCCTTTACCCTCTGTGGATCCAGGCTCCCAAACAGCAAGGTGATGGCGTCCTCCCACCGGCCACAGGAGCAGCAGCCCAGCTGCAGAGAGGGAAAGAGCCGTGAGCGAAGCCCAGGGACACGCTGGGGAGCACCGAGCCCCGGGAGCAGGCACCGAGGCTGGAGGGTACCCAGGGGCCGAGGGCCGCGCTCCCCAGCAGTGGAGGCAGCCGAGGGGAGCCGGCTCCGTCGCCCCTGAGCGAGTTCCCCCGCACCGGGCTGCCCCGGAGCCGAACCGCGGCTTTAACCGAGGGCGGGCGGAGCTCGGTCCCCCGCCCCCGCTGCCCGCAACCAGCATGGCGGCGCTGCCCGTAAGCAAGATGGCGGCGCTGCCCGTAAGCAAGATGGCGGCGAGGAGACGCCGGCCATTGGTTGCGCGCTGAAGTGACGTCACGGGAGGATGCAGGCGAAGGGGTGCGGCGGGAGCGCGCGTCGGGGTGGAACCGGGGGGAGAGCATCGGGGTGAAGGGATCGGGATGGGGAGAGAGGGATCAGGGAATTGGGATAAAAGGATCGGGATGAGGAGAGAGGGATCAGGGGATCGGGGTAAAGGGATCGGGATGGGGAGAGAGGGATCAGGGGATCGGGATAAAGGGATCGGGATGGAGAGAGCGGGATTAGGGAATCAGGATAAAGGGATTGGAATGAGGGGATCGGGATGGGGAGAGTGGGATCAGGGAACTGGGATAAAGGGATCGGGATGAGGAGAGTGGGATCAGGGGATTGGGATGAGGGGATCGGGATGAGGAGAGTGGGATCAGGGGATCGGAGTAAAGGGATCGGGATGGGGAGAGCAGGATCAGGGGATCGGGATGAGGAGAGCGGGATCAGGGGATCGAGAGCGGGATCAGGGAATCGGGACAAAGGGATCGGGATGAGCAGAGTGGGGTGGGGAGAGCGGGATGAGGGGATCAGGGTAAAGGGATTGGGATGAGGAGAGAGAGATCAGGGGATCGGGATGAGAAGAGTGGGATCCGGGGATCGGGATAAAGGAATCAGGATGAGGAGAGCGAGATCAGGGGATCAGGATAAAGGAATCAGGATGAGGAGAGTGGGATTAGGGAATTGGGATAAAGGGATCGGGATGGGGAGAGTGGGATCAGGGCAGCAGGATAAGGGGAGCACTGGGTATCAGGAGGGGGGACCCAGCCAGCCGATGGGAGCTCGAGGCTTTGGCAATGGAAGCCAAGGGGTATCAGGGCCTTGAGAGGCAGCGTGTGGGGTGCCGGTGTGATGATGCCCAGGGCCCAGCCCCGCTGACCCCTGCGTGTGCCGCGGCACAGCGTGAGCATGGCGGTGCTGGAGCGGTGCCCAATGGGTGGCGGGGGGACAGGCGGTGCGGAGCCGGTGTGGTGCTGGCCACGGCTTACGGCGCGGAGCTGGTGCTGCTCCAGCCACGGCCTCCATGAACCTCAATGGGCGCAGCGTGGCCAGGGCGGGTGAGCGGCTCCGGAGCCTGCAGGGACAGCCCCGCTGTGCCCGTGCCGTGTGTGCAGGGGGTCCTGGTGCGTGTCCCCCCCCATCGCTGGGGTCCTGGTGCTGTTTCCATGGTGAGAGCTGCAGCCTCCTGCCCCCCCCGAGACATTGACCTGGTTCATGATGACCTGGAGCAGGCCCTGGGCAAGGTGGAGAGCAAGGTGGGGGCAGCGCGGGGTGTGGGGTGCCCAAGCTCTGCCTTGGGAACAGGGATTAGGAGCCATCAGGATGGCATCAGGTGTAAGGGACCCCATGACCTTTGGCCTCTGACCCCATGACATCTCTGACCCAAAGTGTTGGAACTCAAAGCCCTTGACCTCTCACCCTGTGACCTTTGATCTTTGGCCCGGTGACAGTTTGATTTTTGTCAATGACCTTTGATCTGTGACCTTTCTGCCTTGTACCTGTGACCCTTTTGACCTCTGACCCCAGTGACCTTTAATCCTTGACCTCAAAGCCATTGACTCCTATCCCCTCGAACTTGCACCCTGTGACCTTTTGGTCTTTGTCACCTTTGACCTTGTGACCTGTTGACACTATTTTTTGACCTCTGACCCATTACCTTTTAACCTTTACCCTCATTACCTTCTGACCTTTAACCCCTTGACCTCTGGTTTTTAGCCCTGCCATACCTTTGCAGGCACCAGAGCCATTCCCAGTCCCATCCCTCCATCCTGGCTGTCCTCATCCCTCCATCCCTGCTATTCCCATCCCTCAATCCCAGCTGTCCCCATCCCTCCATCCTTGCTGTCTCTATCCCAGCTGTCCCCATCCCTCCATCCTTGCTGTCTCTATCCCTGCTGTTCCCATCCCTCCATCCCAGCTGTACCCATCCCTCCATCCTGGCTGTCTCTATCCCTGCTATTCCCATCTCTCCATCCTGACTGTACCCATCCCTCCATCCTGGCTGTTCCCATCCCTCCATCCTGGCTGTCTCTATCCCTGCTGTTCCCATCCCTCCATCCCAGCTGTACCCATCCCTCCATCCTGGCTGTTCCCATCCCTCCATCCTGGCTGTCTCTATCCCTGCTGTTCCCATCCCTCCATCCTTGCTGTTCCCATCCCTCAATCCCAGCTGTCCCCATCCCTCCATCCCTACTATTCCCATCTCTCCATCCCAGCTGTCCCCATCCCTCCATCCCTGCTGTACCCATCCCTCCATCCTGGCTGTTCCCATACCTCCATCCTGGCTGTCTCTATCCCTGCTGTTCCCATCCCTCCATCCTTGCTGTCCCTGTCCCTCCATCCCAGCTGTCCCCCTCCCTCCATCCTGGCTGTCTCCATCCCTCCATCCCAGCTGTCCCTATCCCTCCCTCCCAGCCAGCCCCAGGCTGCAGGACACACACGGGCACTGCAGGCCCCAGCTGGGACCATTCCCTCATTCCCCACGCAATGAGAGACCCTAGGATCATGCTGGGGGGGGTCTCTTTAACATTGGGTTATCTCCTCTCCCAAGGGGACACAATGGGGTCCAATCCTGCATCAGCGCTTTGCACTCAATGTGAGTGGCCCTGGGTGTAAGGAGATCACTCCTGCCCCCACCTTGATGCTTGGCTCCTTGTGCCCCCATTCCTCTCCCCCCACACAAGCCCCTGCTCCTTTTCCTCTCCCTCTTTTCCCTCTCCCCTCCTTCCCTCTCCTTCCCCAAGGGCTGACATCAGCTTGGCTGCAGTGAAGGACATGGAAACAATCAGCTGGAGCGGCTCTGCCAGGCCTGGCAGGAGCCTGGGAGCTTGGCCCAGCCCAGCAAAACCTCTTCCAACATCATGTTTCTTGGAGCAAACACTCAAATCCACCTGGAAAACACAAGGAGTTGCTCCCCTCCGTGCCAGCCCCATTCCCTCTCCAAGCCCCTCCATCTCCCTCTTCCTCCCCAGGAGAGGACCCTGCTGCGGGTCAGCATCGGGCGGCCGGAGGATGCGGTGCTGGTGCCCAGCTCCATTCAGCACCACGGAGCAGGAGAGGCTGGAGCAGGGCCTGGCCAAGGCAGCGACCTGGCTGCTGGAGCACATCCTGTGGGGCACAGCACCCGCGGGGGACAGGGGCTGATGTGAGCCCTGGGGACCCCATGGCCAGGGTGCTGTGGGTGAATCGGTGCTGGTCCCACAGACCTCGAACCCCTCATCCCTGGCTCCCTGCTCCTGCCTCTCTCTGTGCTGCTGGCAGAACTGGGGCCATCCCTGGCTCTGTGGCTCCATTCCATGGTCCCAGCCCTGTTCCACCAGCACAGGCTGGAGGGAGCCTTCCAGTGGAAAGCAATGGGAGCCACTTCCACATGGTCCAAACCGTCTGGGCTTTGTTGAGAAACCATAGCAAAACCAAGTTGCTTGGGATTTCATCATTGCTGCAGCAGTCTCAGGGCTGCGGTCATAGGTTTAAACCAAACCCCTGGAGCATCCAACTGGAGCTCCTGCTCCTCCTCATCGACCTGTTACAGGTCTCATGTGGAAAGAGCAACCCATCACCACCATGGTGTCCCAAAGCCCCAGCTCTGCCCGCGCATCCTGCCCCTCCTGTGGCTGCACTGAGCTCCTCACCTGCATCCCAATGGGCACAGGAACCCTTTCCAGGCCACACGTACCGCAGGCAGCTGTGGTTCCTTACTGCACCCAGCTCCTCTCATAGCTTTGAGGCTACCTGTGACCAGGGGGCAAGCAGGGCACGGACATGTCCTGTGCCTGCGCTGGCCGGGTCCCGCTCCATCACCTTCCTATCAAGCTGTGGGGAGAAGAGGGGAGAACCCCAGCATCTCCAGGAGCTGGTGGGGGGCTCACACCTCCCCGGCACACCCAGCCCATGCCTTGCTGCAGTGTCTTTAAGGAAGCTGCTCCTCCAGCCCAGAAGCCCCTGTTCCCAGCCCCACGTCTCCCTGCTGCGGGGCAGTTTAACACCAAACAAGCCTTGGAAAGCGAACGTCCTCCCGCAGAGCTGGCCACGAAGGTGACAGATGCCGGAGCGCAGCAGGGCTGGGCTGCACCCGCCAGTGCTCAGCCTGATGGCAGGTTTCCAGTCCCAAGGCCAAGCCTAGTGTCAGTGATGGAGATCATTTCGATCGGCATTCCCATGGGAGAGCCCAGCTCTGCGGAGCTGCCACCCTCATCCCCAGGGAGAGCTCCAGCCCCCTTCTCCCTCCCTCTCCCCATTACAGGTTTCATTCCCAAAGCGATTCCCAGCCAGGGGAGCACCAAGGTGACCCCGTTGGACGTTAATGGGGGCAGAGCTCCCACAGCCTGCTTTAATCCTCCCTGGGCTTCAGCCCAAGTGTGGCACAGGCGAGGGACGAGCCCGCTCAGCAGCAGGAGGCCACGTGTGCCCCAATGGGAGCCAGCCCCAAAAACACTCCCCAATGTCCAAGCTGGGAGACAGCAGCGTTGGCACCATCCGGAGTCGTGTCCTCTCCAGCGCTCCATTGGGAAGGGGCTCTCCATGGAGCAAATCCTGCCTCGGGTGGATTCCGCACCTCCAGATGTGCAGAGCCCTGAGGATGGGTCCAGCAGCGGCTCCCGGGCAGGATGAGGCCGCCGGTGCTCCCGGCTGGGTCAGGATCCATCCCTGCGAGGTGAGGACACGGACGGGAGCGGTCAGGGCAGCCCCAGGCGCTCTCGCCTGCAGCACAGGCAGCGGGGGGGCCGTTTCCAGCCTCCCCCGGTCTGGCTGCTCCCAGGGCAGGAGCTGCTGCCAGCACAAGCAGCCTCAGGCAGGGAACGTCTGACCCGGGTTAACCGTGGCGGTGCTGAGCGCTCCCACAGGCACAGCCCCAGCAAGACCCGTTTTTTGGGGGGGGAACGGGCAGTGATGGGGTGAAGCTTCCCCTGCAGATGCCCCCAGCTCCCTCCGTATGAGGGTGACCTGCAGGAGGTTGTCCTTGCATCACTTGAAGGGGAGCAGCAGGACCTGGTCCCCTCCAGCCCAGCATCCCCATCCCTTCCCCTGCCTGGAAAAGGTCTCATCTGTTTCCAATGCTTTGTGATGGGCAGAGCTGCTGCCACATGCTGAAACTAAACATCTGGGGCACATCTGAACGCGGGGAGACGCTTCCCAACCACTCCATCCCCATTCCCATCCCCATCCCAGCGCCTCCCTCACCATCAGAGCTCATCGCGGGCGGCGGAGCGGAGGTAACTGCTGCCACCCCGCGGGTCCCTCAGGGTCTTGTGTGAACCAGCCCATTCGGTCTTCTTGGCATCATCATCCCAGATGGTGGAGGTCTCGGTGTCGCTCAGCCAGTTGCTTTCCCCAGCGTAGTGAGTGGGATAAACCAAGAGGGGATGAGCCGAAAACACCAGCAGGTCCCGGGGGGAGAAGTGCCGCTTGTAGTCCTCACTGGGGAAAGCGGAGCCGAGAGCAGGAATTGGCTCAAAGAGCATGGCCAGGGGAGGAAAAGGGCTGGGAAAAAGCCCACTGAGCACACAGGGAGGGCACCGGTGTGGGGCTGGTGATGGGGAGGAACACGGGGAACCGGGGATGGGGTCTGGGAGCTGCCTGTGCTGCTGCTGCCTGCAGAACCTGGCTGGGGAGGGCCCATGGAGGGGATGGGAGCAGCCCCAGTGGCATGGGGCCAGCGTGGGCACGAAGGGGTTCTCTGGCTCAGCATCCCACAGGCAAGCATGGGGCACCCAGCTGCTCCTGGCTCACATCCACAGCTCTAATCCACCCCTCCGCGCACCTCCAGCCTCCCCTCACACACCCGATCCCTCTGTTCCGCTCTGTCTTCCCACCCCTCTCTGCCCCAGCACACCATCCACCACCCCCCCAGACACCGGAGGTGCCCCAAGGTGGGGCTGAAACCCACAACCAGGGGCAGGGAACCACATAACCCCCCAGTACCAGGGTGCAAGGGGCTGCTCCCCCCCCCTCACCATGCTCCAATCCCCCTGTGCAGAGCCAAACCCAAGCCCCAGCTCCATCCCATCCCCGTGCTGGCTGGGGGCCATTTTCCAGCGGCGGCCAGGGGGGGAATGAGCTCATGCTGCAGATGTTTTCCTCCAGCATGAGTAACGCTGGAGCCGGGAGGGGGGGACGGGTGATGGCTGAGAAGAAACACATGGCGAGCCCTCCATGGTTCTCCATCAGCGCCCCACGGCTCTCCATCAGCGCCCCACTGCTCTCCATCACACCCCACGCTCCTTACTTGGGGTGCCTGTCGTACATGATGGGCAGGAACTCGTCCACCGGCAGCATCTTGGACAGGGGCTCAGCATCCAGCAGCTTCTGCGCCCCACGGCGGGAGATGGCGTAGGCCAGTGTCCAGTAGGAGTACCCGGCCACCACCAGGTTCCGCACGCCCTGCACAGGCTCCTCATCCTCTGCGTTCACCTGCTTCCTCCCCAGGTAGCTTCAGGGCAGGGGGGGGAAGGCATTGAGCCGTGAGCCCCAGCCCTGGGGACCCCCATTCTGCCTCCCCCCACCATGTCCCCATCACCCACATGAGGTCCCAGTCCCGCTGTGCCCCATCCAGCTCCTCCATGAGGCGCCGCAGCCGTGCCGGGAAGGCGGCCTCGAAGCGGACGTCGTCCTCGAACACCACCGAGCGCTCCAGCCCCCGGGATGCGATCTGTGGGTCCAAACACCCTGTGTCTCCCTCTGTGCCGCAGGGACCTGGTGATGCTCATAGGGTCGCTGCCCCACACTGGTTGCTCTTAGGGACACCCCCCCCCGTGTCCCCATACCTCCTTCCAGATGTTGTAGTGGCTGAGGAAGCAGCCAACCTCACCCTTGGTGAGCGTGCGCCCAGAGAAGGGGTCGTAGTAGCCAGGGAGCAAGTCCACCCCCAGCACCTTGATGTCGCTGCTGTTGAGGGCACTGCAAGGCGAGGGCTGCGTCAGCAGAGGTGTGATCCCCAGCCCCCAAAGTCACCCCATGGTGACGGGAGGAGGTGGCAGAGCAGGGACACGTCCCCTTCGTGGTCACCTCCCATCCACAGCATCCACCACGCGTGGGGTGATCTCCAGCTCCCGCAGGGACGCCAGCATCCGCCGGCGCCGGTCCGGCCGCCGCACCAGGTTGATGAGGAAGATCTGGGGAGGAAGAGGAGACACCAACAAGGGGCCACGTTGTCACTGAGGAGTGAAGGACAAGGGGGTTGGCTGAAGCCTGTGGTGGGCTTTGCCAGAGAGGGACAGACATGGGGACATGGCGGGGGGGGGGGTGTCCTTTGGGAACTTACTTCATCAAAGCCCATTTTTGTGAGTGGCTTGGGGAGGAGGGAGATATGCCTGGAGCGCTGCATGGGGGGGCCATCCACTGCAGAGAGAGGGGACACCCCTTCGGTCCAGCCCAGACATCCCTGACCAGGAACCAGGTCCTGGTCACAGCCTGGGGACAGGGACACCCCCAGGACCCCACCACCCATGGATGCTCACCCAAGGATGCTCACCCACGGATGCTCACCCAAGGATGCTCACCCATAGCCTCCAGTGTGAGATGCACAAAGTTGGCACGTTCATCCTCCTGTGTCTGATGAGCCTTCACGGGGACGTTGATGTAGCCAAAGCGCTGCTGGTTGCACACGTGGACATCGGCGCCTGCCACATGCGATGGGTGAGCACCACAGCCCCCCCTCCCCGCACCCCCTGCCCTGCTCCAGCACCCCTCAATCCCCACCGGCCTCCTGGCAGGAGTATGCGAAGACGATGATGTCGTCGAAGGCCCAGGTGTAGTTGGGATGGGGAGGGTAGAAAGCCAACCGCGACGTCTCCTCCTTCCTCAGGTCGATCAGGAAGGTGCCATAGACCATGGGGACGGGGAAGCAGCCCAGCCGCTGCCGGTTCTTGGTGGGGAAGTAGTCAGCCGTGCGGCGGTAGTACCCCTGCGGCACATGGTGTGATGGGGGGCACTCCCACCATTGGGGGTCCCCTTCCCCGTGGCTCTCTAGGGAGGTACCTGGGGTGTGATGCCGCACCAGAAGTTGGAGTAGAAGGTCTGCGAGTCCAGCATTGGGGCCACCACTGACTTGTTCTGTGCCATGAGAAACCGGAGGGTCTGGTTGTTGGTCAGGATGCTGTCGGTGTCCACAAACTGCGGGGGGGAACAGCATTAAGTCTTGGAGGTGTGGGGATGCCCACATCGGCCCCCCCACTCCATGGTGCCCCACGGCCCTTTACCAAGATGTAGTCTGCTCGCTGCTCCCGGCCGTAGGTGAGAGCCTCCTGCTTCAGCCTCATCAGGTTTTCATAGCGCTGATTGCTCCAGTGCTTGGGTCCGAGCTCGTCGGGGTAGGAGCTGGATAGGGGGAGGCAGAGATTGACCCCATTCGCTGGGAACACAGGCTCAGTGCATGCCCCAGCTCTGCCTTGTGCCTGCATCCCATGGTAGGAAACGGAGTCAGCTCTCCCCCAGCCTCACCTGGGCTCCTCCTGCACCTTCCATGCCACCGAGTGGTACTCACTGCCCACAGCACCCAGCCACTCCTGCAGCATCGCTGTCGTGTTGTCCGAGTTGTGGTCTGTCGCGCACCTGCGGACAGGACATCGGGAACTGGGGACTCCCCAAAGGGACAAGCACGGCCCCATCGGGCACTTGGAGCTTCCCTGGGGAGAAGAGGCCGAGGCGGTGACGGAATCGCTTGGGAACGTAACGTGTAATTTGGAGGGACAGAGGCTGCGCTGGCAGGAGCAGGAGCAGGAATGGGTCATTTCTGCCTGGTGCTGTAGCTCTCACCCCGCATCCCTCAGCCCAAAGCAGCCCCTGTGGCTGCCCCCCACAAAGAGCATCGGGGCACACAGCGTCACCTCCCCATCCCTGTACCCCCCAGCACCATCAGACACAGAAAAGACCTCAACAAGCAGCAACCCCCCCTTTCCCAAGCCTTCCCTTGCCACGTGCAGCCGCCATCCCCTGCTCTCCCACCCGACCTCACAGCGACGCTCACAGAGACCCCAGCACAAACAGGGCTGAGCCCCACGCTGCAGTGGGGCAGACCCCAAAGGCCCATCTTGTCCAGACCTGTCAAAGAGCTCCAGGGCTGGCCCCCCTGCACTGGTGTCACGGGGACTCCCTGGGACACAGGGGACAAGGCAGGACCTGCCACCCACCCCCCCAAAAAGGCCCCTGTGCCTTGGGGCTCTGCTCCCCCTGCCCCAGCCCGGACCCCCCCAAACAGCCCCGGACCCCCACAAAACAGAAAGTTCCCAACGAGCTCAGATGGCGGCAGCGGAGCCGGGACACAGAGGAGGGACAGGGGCTGCTTCCAGCCACCCCCCGCAGGGTAAAAGGGGGCTTAGGGGGTGCCATTGGGGAAGAACCCCACCAGCCCCACAGCTTCAGCAGGGAAAGGTGGGGTCCTGTCCCCTCGCTGTGGGGCAGCTCCAGCCCCTCCCGGATCCATGCTGGGTGCCACAGCCGGGGCAGAGCCGGCCCTCGCTCCTCGGGGCTGGGGGATGTCACCACCAGGGTCCCTGCTCCTCCTGGACTCCCCCATTCCCTCCCAGGACCCCGTCCTCCCAGTTCTCTGTTCCCCCCACCCCGGCCCCCTTTACTCCAAGACCTCCCCGAGTCCTCCCCCTCTCCCCAGCTCCCAATTCCCTCCCCTGCATCACCCTTTGGGTCCCCACCAGCCACTGCTCCCCATTCCTCCCATAACCCCCCCCCTCCCCATTCCCCATCACCCCCGTCCCCCGCTCTCATCCCCATCCCCGGGGCTCCCCATTACCCCGGTTCCCCATGACCCCGGCTCCCCCGGGGCTCCCCCTATTCCCCCCCATTCCCCTCCATCCCCGGACCCCCCGCCGGTCCCTCACCACAGGGCGATGCTCCCCGCGGGGTAGTCCAAGCGCTCCAGCGCTCCCAGGCAGTGCGGCAGCGAGTGCTGCGCGTTGCGGGCCAGGAGGGCGAGCACCACCCGCGGCGGGGCCGGCCCGGACCCGGTGCCGGTACCGGTGCCGCTACCGGTAGCGGTACCGGTGCCCAGCACCAGCACCAGCAGCAACAGGGAGCAGAGCGGCCCCATGGCGGCGGCGGCGGGCGGGGAAGGGGCGGGCTGAGACCCGCCGCGCTCAGCGCAGCCCCCCCCCGCCCCTTGGCCCGGCCCCGCCGCGAGCCCCGGGGGCGGGTTTGGGTTGGGTTTCGTTAAATAAAGCTGATACCGGTTAAAAGAACCCGGAGAGCCCATGGGAGGGGAGCGGGAGTAGGGGGGGTACCCCCAGTGTCCCCCCAGTGTCCCCCCCCACTGCCAAAGTGCTCCTGGGCTTCCCCGTGTGCCCCCTGACAGCTCCGGGTCCTGCTATGCCCAGCATGGCAAGGGCAGTGGATGGGGGGGCTAGAGGGTGAGGGGCTCATGGTTATGGGGGGGATCATGGCCGGGGGGGTCATGGCGAGGGGGGCTGGCGGCTGGATGGGGCTTGTGGCCAGGGTGAGTCGTGGCCGGGTGGGCTCACAGCTCAGCCCCTTCACAAGCCCACCCCACCGGGCCCGCCGGTGTCTGACCATGTGCACCCCACAGGAGTGCCTGCAACGTGTCCAAAGCCCTGGGGCCTGTGGGACGTGCGGCCACAACCGCGGGTGAACCACCCAGTCCTTAAATACAGCTCCGGGAGCAGGCACAGCCCGGGAGGAGGCCTCGTCCTGCTGAACAAGAGCACCCCGGGGTGCTCGGCACCCCCTGATACGGTGGCACTGGGGTGCTGGTGAGGCCCCCGTGCCATGCATGCATGGCCAGACCTGCACCCACCGGCAGCGGGACGAGGGTCGGGCCGTGCGGATGCTCCCGATGGATCCCCACATCCCCCGCGCTCCCTGGGGACCTGCGGGAAGACCCCAGCTGGGTGCAACAGGCGGGTGATGGACGATGCAGAAGCACCTGAAAGAAGCAACAGAGAGAGTGGGGGGACACGGGGAGCCCTGCACGGTGGGGGGGGGGGGGGGAAGGACGCTGTTTGCAACGCAGCTCGGACAAGCATTCCAGGGACAGGCTCCACAGGGGAGGGATTAAACCGGGGGATGCCGCGGAGCCCTGGTCCGGCCCCGTCCGGCGGGGACACCCCCTCCGCATCTCCCCACCCCGCTGCGAGGCCCCGCTAAGGCCGCTGCTGCCACCTCCCGGCTCGGTGCGGGGAGACCGGGGCTCGGGAGGCCGGGTCTGAGCCCCGTGTGCCCGCATCCCTCCGTCCCTGCCCCGGTTCATCCCTGCAGCCCCACATCCCCGCATCCTTTCGCCCCTACATCTCTGCATCCCTATGTCCCCGCATCCCCAAGTCCGTCCATCCCTGGATCCTCTCCTGGGGCTCACAGCCCTGCCCTCCGCCCCTGGGAAGGGCACAGAGGGATTTCAGTGCTGGATTTTCAAGGCCTGGATCCCAGAGAGGCCGAGCAGAGCAGGTCCCAGCCTGCAGGCAGGGATGAAACCCTGCAGAGCCCTTGATACCTGGCATCACACTGGGACAGGAGGGACCCCAGCTTGGATGTGCCCTGGTCCAGGCTGGGGCCAGCCCTGAGATGCTGCTCTGTGAGCAAGAGTAAAACCACTGCCAGCAATTTCTCCTCCTTGTGTGCTCATCCCCACTATCCCCTCCCCAGGGATGCAGCATCCCTGGCCTGGCACGGTTCAGCCACCATTCCTGAGCACACCAACACTCCCTGGCCATGGGCTCGGGAACTGGAGCGGGACAGGACTGCCCTGTCCACAGCTCCACCACCCTGAGGCAGGCAGAGAAAGGAGATGCCACGGCTGACACTGACATGGGGAAACTGAGGTACAGGCAGGCACAACATGTGGTGCAGAGATGGGCTGGGACTGGCTCAGGATGGAGCCTCAGAGCTTGCTGTGACCCTGCACAAGCAGCTTTGGCCATGCAATGGAAAGCACCCCACCAGCAAGCTCAGGGAGAAGGGGGATATGGAGGTTACCACTGTGTGGTCCTCGGGGTGACCCTCTCGGCTCAGCATCTTCATCCCATCACTCTGCTAGCACAGGGCTGTGGCAGCCCCGTGTCCCAGGAGCAGGGCTGGCAGGCGGGTGGCAGGTCCCCACAGTGCCCACAGTGTCCCCATGGGGCTCCACACACCCATGGTGATTCCTGTAACACAGAGCCAACGATGAGCCCAACAGCATCCCACCTGGAAAAACACCTTCCCATCCCCCTGGAGTCTGCACAGTATTTATAGCAGGATTATTCTTTTTTTTTTTTACAGGGAAATAATTGCTTTTGGATGCAGGGTTGAGGTTTTGGCCACCTCCTGCCTCTCTCCACCACCTTCTTGGAATTCTCTTTTCAAGCTTCAGAAAGCTCTGGGTTCCTGAAACGCCTTCATTTCTCTGCTTTGAAAGGCTTGGTTGCATAAAGCAAATGTATAAAGATATTTCTCCTGCAGTGATCCTGTGTCTATGTGCATAGCCAGGGGCTGGGACAACTCTTCCAGCCACCAACAACCTTTATTGAGCTTATTTCACAAGAACAAGCAATGCGGGGGCTCATCTGTCTGCCCAGGTCCGTGGTGTCCCCAGGGGTCCCCTATTCCCATGCTATGGCACTGCCTGAGTGGCACGGTCCCCTCCAGGCACTGCCCTATCTCATCCAGCATCGCAGCCCCAGTCCAGTCCCCAGGTGGGGAAACTGAGGCACAGAGCCCACAGAGCCCCCCTGGACCCAGTGCCCATAACCCCACTATGCTCCCTGTCCTGCAGCCCCTCATCCCGAGCCATTCCAGCTGTCCCAGCTGTTTTCACCTCCCTCCAGCTGTTGGGTAACTCAGCGCTCCCCTCCCAGCTGTGTTTTCCTTCCAGGCCTCTGCTAAACCCATCGCATCGCAGGCGCCGCGCTGCTTTCCTCCTCATCAGGCTGCTTCCGCAGGCAAGAACTATGGATCTTCCCATCTGGAAAAATCCAGGGGGATTTGGGCCATCCTGGGGGGATTTGGGCCATCCCTGAGGGGATTATGGCCACCGGGGGAGATCTTGGCCCACCCAAGAGGTGTGCTGGCAGAGGAGCCAGAGGCCAGCAGGAGCAGCATCCCCATCCTGGCTGGTGGATATGGGGACATCCGTGCCACTGTAAATGGGGCAGGGACACGTCACCAGCGCTGGGACCCACTGGGCTGCATCTCCCCTGCTCCTCGGCTCACTGGGGTGTTCCTGGTGGGCTGTGAACATCCTGGAGGGAGAAACCTCCACTGGGATCCCTGTTGGGAGCAGGGAGCTGGGGGATGCAGCATGGTCTGCTCCACTTGCAAGGCATCGCTGCGCTTGGAGCCACCTTCAAGCTAAGCCCTGACCCTCATGGGTGGCACAACCAGCTCAGCACCAGAATGGTCCCTTTTCTCCCCAGGCTGGGCCATATCTGTTGGCATCAGAGCCAGGGGTGCCCAGAGCCAGTGTGACCCAGCTCTGGGTGTCAGAAGGACCCCAGGCACCCTTAGCTCTGGGAGCAAGCAGAGAGGTGCCTCAGGAAGGGGAAACTGAGGCAGGAGCCGGACCCTACACTGGGCATGGGGACACCAGGAACAAGCGGGACAACAGGGACAATTCTCCATCCCAACCGGTGGCAGAGGGGTCCCCCGATGGGATGGATCCCCCCGCAAGAACACTGACCCATGTGCTCCCATCCCCTCCGTGCCTCCCTCCTCTCCCCGCAGCGATGCTGACGGTCGGTCCCGGTCCCAACCCAGGGCAGCTGCGACCGAAGACAAAGCTGTCCCCTTCGGCACAATACCCTTCTGTGTCCCCGTCATCCCCCCCCCCAGATGCTGACCACTGGGGTGGGCAGCGGCCTGGCTGGAGGGGCCGTGCCAGGCCCCCGCTGGCAGGGACAATGTTGGCAGTGATGGAGAGTAGGTATTTCAAAGGGTTTTGTTTTCGGGTTGACCCGCCGAGCCTATGTGACCCCGCAGCCCCCCACCCAGCCCTGCTCCTCCGTCCCAATAGCAACCGGCCACATTCCTGACCTCGGGAGAAGGGGGGGGGGAGAGTTTCAAACCTCCCTGGGAAGGAGACAATGGGGGTGTCAGGGCCGTGATTTAGGAGGGGGGGCTCTTTCCATCACAAAGGCGAGACAAAGGCGCTCGGCGCTGGGAAAGGGGCTTCGGCGGCGGCTCAGGAGCGGGGCCGTGGTATTGTGCACGGCCAGCCGGCCTCAGCGCAGGGCAGCCAGGGCCCACCGGGTCCCGTTGGGTCCCACTGGGTACCAACTGGGTATCACTGCATCCCACGACTCTCTCCATCCCACCCCCTTCCACAGGCCTCCCATTGAGGACCAGGATCTGGTGGCTTCACGGGTGTCACCATCACCCACGGTGGGAAGGAACAAGTCCCTATCCCCATGTGGGATGGATGGGGCACCCCCAGCTCCCCAGACCCGTGGGGCTGGCCAGGGACCAGCCCATCCCAGGGGGCTGTGGGCACCATAGGGCTCAGATCAGGCCCATCCCAGGGGACAGGCAGCCCCAGAGCTGAGCCCCCCCACCCCACATCATCCCTCCTGGGGTACTCATGGCCAGGGTCCCCCTCTCGAGTCCCAGGGCCAAAGACCGGGTGAGGGAAGAGCAGCTCCTCTGTGATCCATCAAAGGGGCTTTGTGCACCCCGGGGCCGCCGGCACCCAGCACCACCCGCCACCACCAGCATTGGCACCGCACCACGTCCACCCTACCCTGCACCCCAAAACCCGCTCTTTCCAACTGCCCCACCAACCCTCCTCCTCCATCCCTTGGGGGGGGGCTCAGCCCCAAACTATGGCAATACCCCCCCCCCCCCCAAAAAAAAAAAAAGCCATGAAGTTGCTTAAGCAAACACCCAACTTACAGCGTCCTCCATTGCCGAGCCGAGTGTCCTGGTGCCGAGGGGCTCGGAGCCTGCATGGAGAAGGGATTATATTTACAGGAGGAATGTTTTTCTCCCGGTGCTGGACGCTCGATCCGGAGCTGGAAAGGAAATCATTGGTTTTTCCCTCGCTCCCTCTCCTTGCCCTAATTCTTGTGTTTTTTCCTGGCAGCTGCCGGGAGGAAGGAGCTGGCAAAGGTGATGCTTTTTTGGGAAGCGGGGTTGAAAGAGGCATT